TTCTAGGTTGGAGTTCTCTTATTTATTTGTTAAATTTATTTGCTGCCTATCTCACTGTGAGGCTATTCTAGACAGCTTTCTTTTTTTCTCTCTCTCTTTATTAAGTTTCCATCGGTGACTTCTTGTGTTACCTTCAGATGCTTTGGAAAATAAGTTGACACTCTCCTCTCTGTGAAGCCCCCCAAATATTGGAAAACTGCTATCCTGTCATTCCTAGTCCTTCTCTTCAGACACACAAACACACACATACACACACATATCCTATGATTTAAAATTAGGACACATTTAATATATTAAAGGAACAATTATTTTCATGACAAAACAAACAAATTAATCAGACTAATCCTACTTCTAACTTATTTTACTGATATATAAAGCCTCCTTTTTTCTAGAGTATCCCTAATGAAAAGAATTTGGGTGAAGTGGTTAGGACTCAGAAAGCAGCTTCTCAGTTCTCAACCAAAGCTTAATATATGATGCATTTCACCCTATAGTGACAGGCCGATCACTTTTCTTGGAAATGCTTCTAAGTGAAAAAGTGACAAGGGAGAGTAAGCAACATCTACAAAACACAGCTATGGTTTTCAAATAACTCAGAGTAAATTTCTTGAGTCCTGAGAGCCAGTTCTGGCAATATTCAGTTAGCTAACTTCATGACCAACATTTCCTGGTAGAGCACAGTCCTTGTTGAAAGGTTACAACTAAGGAAATACCATATTTCTTTACTTTTCTGTTTCTCTTATTGGACTAGGGGCAATTTTTTGTTGAAAAAATGTTTTATGTAAAGAGAGTAAAATAAAAACACAGGAGTCTATCAATGGGCAGTGTTATGTGATGAGGATATTCTGATCACAGCTGGCTCCTTTAATAAATGTGCATGCAGCACATTTACTTTTGCCACAGATGTGCATTGTTTTGCTTCATCCAATTATTCTCCTTCATGAAAGTATTACCTGTATCCATTCTTGTTTTTTTTTTTTTTTCCTAATAAAATTTTATTACAAAATATATTTGGACTTCAAAATCTCTCTTAATTTCAATCAGAGACTGATTTTACTCATAACACTCCCAAATAAATCTGACATTTTTTACCAGAAACTCTATAAAATGTAGTCTTTAAAGAAAGGGGTAGTGAGGACATATTTATCCCCTGAATTTGGAGTAGTAAAGGCACTTTTGTTTGTATTTGGCTGCCACAAATATCCAATGCATTCCTTACAAGAAAGCTACTAATAACCTTTCCTGTTCAGGAGGTGAGAGAACGAAAGGCCCAGAAACATCCCCTTGAGTTAATATCTCCTTAACTCAAATACTTAGTTTCCTGGGATTGATGTAATGGTATGTGGGAATGACTGCAGGAGACAAGAGGGAGAGCTGCAGACTGGCCAACCAGTGTATAAAAGATATTTCAGGCCATAGAAGGTAGGACTTGGGGAAAATGTTTCAAAGGGATTGTCCCTAGTTTTCTGAAGAGTAAAAGGAAAACATTACACAGCTTATATTAGATAATTAGACAGCTAACATGTGGACCTAAGAAAAGAAGTGGCTTCTTTAAGGACCTGTCAACAGATACAGTGACTGTGGCCAGAAAACTGGTCCAAACTGTTCTTCCCATTTCAAATACATTTTAACTTTTTGCCTTAAGGAACAAAAAGTCCTACAATGGTCTGGCAAGAGCTTCCTTGAACAACATCTTGCTCACTGCTACCAACTTACTTCTGTCACATGAAGGCACAGAGAACTGTTAATCAGCAGAGGATGGAGCGCATATAGGCTTGGTGAAGGCACTATTAAATTATTGGCAAAGCTGATCAGGAATTTGGGACCTATAAGCTTAACGTATCTGAAGGGTGTCAGCTTGGAGAAATCTTCCTTAATGGATCAGAGCTTCTTGGTATATAAATTACTACAAGGAAGATCCTCTGAAAATAAAACGTTTGAAAACCACTTCCACCATCCTGAATGGGAATTAAAGAATATCAAAAATGTTGTTTTAGAAAAGGACACTGTTAACTAATGTTATCTTCAGGAAGACACAAAGGATTATATAAAATACTATACTCTGGAAGCAACTACAATTCAAGTATCCCAAAGCAGGCTGGCACTGGAGAGCAGTTTTTTATTTTATTAAAAAAACAAATGTTTCTATATCTGAAAGCAAGTTCAATACACATATGTCCAAGAATCAGTCCAAGATAAATGTCTATGAAGAAGAAAAACTGTACCTCTTTAGTAGGACACATACTTGGGACACCACCATCACCAAAGACAAGATTCAATTTCTAGCTAGTGTAGACTATACCAAGAAAAGTGAAACATGACTTGTTAAAATATGACAAATTGTAAAACAAAACAAGGAGAAGAAGAGGAGGGATTATCTATGTTCAGATATAGATATCAGATAAAGTTTGGGATATGCTTATTCTACGGGCTTGATGCCACCATGTGGCAGTAGCTTGTATTTGTATTTGTGTCTTTAGTAGAAAATGTAACCCTATTACTTTTTCAAGACATCAGCACACAATCCTAGGTAATGTTTGTGATCCCCAAATTAGGTTCAGCTGTAAAATAGTATCCTGCTTAGAAGTTAAAGGGAGAGACTGGAGAGAAGGATTTTAGAAAGATCAAGGACAGAGGTACCAGAAGATAGTTTCCTCACAACAAAAGGCAACAAGAATGGAGAAAGTCATTTGAAGTCTCAGCCTTTCTTCCAGTTTTTAACACAACTCTGGGGAGGGAAGCTGAAATAAGAGAGTTACTGACTCAAAGTCACCTAGTGGGATTTCTCAGCTGACAGTGGACTTCAACCAGTGAATCTCCAATCCAAATACACACCATAACTAACATTATGTTAGCTCTCATTATTATTATTATTAAGGCAGCATTATTAATTGTAATTATATTGCTACATAATGTTATAGAAAACTAGAACAGCTTAGGTGCTGGAGTAGAACTGGAAAGATTGAAGTTCTAGTACCCCCTTAGGCATGGAAGCAAGCTGTGAAATCAAGTTGACCTTGGACCAGCCATTTCCTCTCAGCTTAAATCAATGCCAAGCTCTGCAATAAGCAGCTGATAAACAAACCCTCTCATCACTGTTTCTTGGCTTAATAGCTTCACTGCAAAAACTAGGTGAGTACAGTCTTAAAAAAGCAGGCCCTGCAATCATGCAGGGCAAACAAGTAAGACGACTATTAGTACAGCATAGTATTTCTCTAGGTAGTATCAACAAATTCAATATACCATTATTATACACTTCCAGAATATGAACAAATACTGGCTGTAAATTTGTCCTCTGAAATAATATTCCCCCAGATATTTCTATGATGTCTATCTTTCCAGCCTTTAAAGAAAGCATTAAAGCATCTTCTATAACTTTTATTATACTGGTTCATAACTTAGTGTAGTTGCATAGATCTTCCTCTCTCTTTCTGCTGGTGGAGGAGAGAGTTTGGTTACTTCTTTGTGTGATGCTATCTTTTGGGTTTTATTGTTTATAGTATTGTTTTGTATGTTAAGCTGCCCAGAAGATAGGGTAGGGTAGAATAGGATGGATGGATGGATGGATGGATGGATGGATGGATGGATGGTAGGTAGGTAGGTAGATAGATAGATAGATAGATAGATAGATAGATAGATAGATAGATAGATCCATATATGATAGTACATAAGTCTCCAATTTTATTTGTGAAAGTATACTAGTTTCACTCATTAATTAATGTAAAAGCCTGGTGCAGAGGATGGAAACTATTCTGGCACAATTAGTTTGTTAAGAAACTTAGGACATCCAAAAATACTACCTTTCAGTTATCAATTCATATTCAGTGGAAAGGATTCTCTTATCCCCTAGAGAAAAATAGAAGACTTTGCCTTGAGCACCCCCCTGTGGGCTCAGATTAGAACTTCAAGAAAGGGTTCTCTATATTGTGTCATAATAAATCTTGCTTGATATGCTGGGAACAATGTAGCATCCCTCTAGAAGTTGTGTACTTCTCACGTTAAGCTTTACTTCTATTTCTGATTATTCATACTGGAGATTTGTTCTTAATTGTGTGAAATAATCATTATATGAAATAAAGTAACTTCAACTTATGGTTTATAAGGTGGTTTGTTTCTACAAACCAAAGAGATAAATAATACTATAGGCTCCGAACTATTGCTAAGTTGTGGTTAAATAAAATTGGAAATGAAAGCTTTGAAATTCTCATTGTAATATCTAAATGCAACCGTGGGGGGAAAATAAAGCGCCGACTGAATCATATGCGAACAAGAGTTTTTAAGGTATGTCAAAATCAAACAGAGCTAGAATTTTACCTATTGAAGTTATGGAAGTAAACTTGTTGGTCAGGAGTTCCTTGCTCCTAGCAAAAGCCACTGGACTGAATTGAAAACAAAAAAATCTACCAGAAGCCTCATCTGTTAAACCTGCCTCAGAGGAATAGATCAGAGAGCAAACAGCAATGGGGTATTATTTCACCCTAAGTAGAAACCACATTTTTCCCTTATCAGCTGGTACTGCCAAACTTATCAGAGGGAAAAGTCCTTCTATTGCAGGGCTGTCAAACTCGTGGCCCACGGGCCGGATGCGTCACACACTGGCCACACCCACACCTGGTTTAGCAAAGGGGGGGAAGTCCCGATACGTCACATGACACCACCGTGACAATGTGAGTTTGACACCCCTGTTCTATTGCATCCTGATCTTCAACCTGCTAAATTTTGTAACTAAGAAACCTCCTTTTAATGCATTGGATGGCTTGCTTGCTTTCTCTTTTTTTCTGCATGCTGACTTTTAGCCTGCAAGCCTATAAGTAAAGTATCATTTCTGTTTTTTTATAAGCTTTTCTATTTCAGCAAAGAAAGAAAGAAATGTAAAGTGACCTAGGATGGCTTTTCTTTTTCCTTTAATATCCAATTATTTAACTACAATTCAAACTTGCTGCATAGAGGATAAAGGCTTAAATCAATTTAAATAAGTGTTAAAATAAATGAGGTCATACCTTGAACTCCTTCTAAAAGCAGATCGACTCCTTTTCTATAAAAGCCAAATGCAGCTTCATAATCTTCCTCTTCCTCCTTCTTCAAGGCCAGTTTTATCAGTTCTCCAGCTTTGTCCAAGTAATCTCTTCTGCCAAGCTTGGCCTTCAAGCTCCCAGTGAATAAACCCCGGCTCTCCCTCTCACTTTCAGATTTGCTCCATTCATGATCTGAAATGGCAGATGCCAATACTGGAGGTTCAGCAGCAAAGCTGAGACCAAGTGATGTGCTGGGGGAATCCTGGTTAGATGCCATTCCATCATCTAACTCAACAAGAGAATCTGCATCAATGGTCAAGGAAATCAAGTCACTGTCACTGGATAAACCTGTAGTGCAACAAAAGAATGGCAAGTGAAGGAATTAATGGTCTTCTCCCTTTGCCCTCTAAAGAAGCCCTACTAGCAAGTCTTGATTTAGAAGGTGAGTACAAGAAGTATTCATGAAAGATATTAACTATTTTAGCCTCAGATCAGTGCCTCTAAAAAAAGATAGTGGTCTTTCTTTTATATGGTGATTAGGATAATAGATGTGATGTACTTTAAGCACCCAGTAAACTATATCCTAAACTCTAATCATGATGAAGAATTTTGATGAAGATCATACAATTTATAACTTATTTTTGTTCAACCTAAATTATATAACCAATTCCACTGGTGAGTAAAAAACAAGTACTCTGCCAGGTTAAATGAAAAATCCATCTAGTTGAGTATTTAATTCATATTATGGTTCAAGAAAAGCCCACTGGAGACTATCACTCAAGCTGCCCAGCAATTAATTTTGAGAAACGTATGGCTATAGAGGTAGAGGTACTACCATATATAGGCAATATGTCTTGCAATCAGTGACAATTTTTCCTGTCTGAATTTATTTAATTTTCTTCCAAATCATTCTAGGTCAGTGATTATCAAAAAAAAATCTTGGAGTGTCACTTCTATAGGTCCATGTGAGGAAATGCTTCTTTTTATCTGTCCCAAACCTCCTAACATTGGATTTATTGGATGAATCCAAGTCCCAATTCAATGGGAAAGGAATACAATCTTCTTTGTCCATTTTCATTGTTTATATTATGCAGAGCATACACTTGCTGCCAAATCCTTTTTTTTAAACCTAATCTAATAAATCTGTGTAAATATCTATCTCAATCATCCAGGTCATGGATGTCCCAAAGAGGATGTTCAAAAGGCAACTGGACTTTTTCTGGGGTTTTCCCCCCTTGAAAACATTCTGCTTCCGATCCAAGAAGCTTCTTCAGTTCTTCAGAACTGAAGAAGCTTCTTGGAGGAGAAGTGAAACGTATGCAAGGGAAAACAAACCAAGAAAGTACAGTTGCCTTTTGAACAGCATCTTTGGGATAAGTCTCAGTGCAATATTTCCTCATAAAGGAATGATAGATTCATTTTATTACAATTTCTGTCTGAACAATTAAAGCACAGTTGGTAGAAATATACTTGATCTATCTATATTAGCTGTCCAGGTTGTTTTGATAGTATTTCGGAGTGCTGAACCTACCCATAGCTCATATTTCTTCTTCTTCAGTGTTTCTCCAACAGATTTGGCTCCTAGGTTATTGAGTAACATACTTTTCTCAAAGTACATAACGACATTTAATAGTCACTCATCTTTCTTTTAACAAGTAAATAAAATGCAGTAAGCAAATGAATAATACTAAAATAGTCCCCATTGTTGGAGATTTATAATCTTTACTCCTGCATTTATTTAGAGCGCTTTTGTAGAATAGTCAAAAAGTCACTGAGGATTTGAATAAGATGCTGATTTGTACACCAATTCATATTCAGTGGACAACTTATTTTATTGCTGCAGAATAGAACTAGCATTCCAAAAGTTCTTATACTGAAAGTGTAAACCAGTTGAGCATTATGCAAAACTCAGACTAAAAGAACCAGTGAAGTGGCACAGTTTGAGATTGAGGTCAAAATCTTGTAACCCTCCAGTTCAAGTCTTACTTCTGCCAAAAATGCATGTGGTGATCTTAAGCTGGAGGAGATGAGCAATAGTTTAACAGAAAGGCCAATGTTTTGCAGACAGAATGTCTCAGATTTTAGCAGCTTGCTCACTCTCTCTCTCTCTCTGACACTACAACAAATCCGGATGAATTATTTATGGTCATTCATGCCTCTCATCTATATTGCTACAGTTTGCATTACACGGGGCTGCCCTTGAAGACTGTTCAGAAATTATTAGCCTGCGTGTTAATGGGTTCTGCCTTGTGTTCCCTATGTGATATTGTTACTGCGGAAGCTGCCTTGATTGCCATTAAGATCCAAATGCAATCCATTGCTTGCATTGGAACACCAATCCATTGTGTTGGTGTTCCTTAAAAAGCACCATTTAGCTTGGAATCTGGTAATGTTCAAAACTATATGCTGCAAGGGGAGTTCACCTTAAAGTGGCCGGTGCATTATGGGTAACCTCTTTTTTTCCAATTAAATAATGAATTAACCCAACACCGCTCAATTTACTCCATTCTTTCTTACCTCCATATTCTGACTGGCTAAGTGTCACTTCATCAAGGACATCTTTCCGAGCTGTACAAACAAAAATAAAATGGAGCCAACATTAATTACACATAGGTTTGAAATAGGAAAGGCTCACTGTAGCCAGGAAATTCTAAAAAAAATAACAGGGGGAGGGACACGGTTTGTTGGGTATATGCACTCTAGAAAAATATAAACCGTTTTACTCTAAAAGCCTAAACCAGCTTCTTTCTACCATTCACCCTTCAGATATGTAGGATTTCCAACTAACTTGACCAACAGCCTATATTGAAGATGCACCACAAGTCCATAAATGTTCAGATATCTGACCTGTATTTTCTCCTGGTGTTCTAGTTTTCATCCGGTCTCTATTTCTTTTCAGATTTTACATTATGTTCTACCCCATTTGTGAATTTTATACCTGATAAACCTCATTTGGTGAATCCCCCTAAAGAGCAATGGCTATTGGATGATCTAGAAATGCACCAAAAAGCCAATCATAAAGAGGATTTCATAGTTTACAATCAAAACATTTAGATTAAAAATTACCTGAACAGTTATTGCTACAATAGGTGTTATTCCATCATGGTTTCTGCATAACAGAGAAAACCAAACCAGGAAAAATTTACCACTTGCACAATCAAGAAAATTAGAACTGAAATATAATGCTGCCATCTACAGGAGATGAAGATGAAGAGACCATAAGAAGTTGTTATCAAATCTAATTTACATGTGACAGAAAGATGGGAAATGTTAAGGCATGTCTGAAAAGTATTGACATATTTTATTGTTTTCTTCTTACAGATCCTTTCTTTCTGCCCACTGGTCACTTGGGGAAACAAATAAAGAAACAATATATCAAAATAGTTAAAATTCCAATTTAGATTTAATCCTATTTTGGAGCAATAGGTGTCCAGCATGCCATTCAAAAGCCAAGGAAACAATTGGATAATGTACTAAATCAGGATTGTTTCAATCTCAGCACACCATGGAGATCAAGTGGCCCAAACATGCTATTTAAAATTCCTCAACTGCCTTTCCCAAAAGAAACTACAGTTTAAAAAAAAACTGGAACTGGATTACAAAAAGTAAGTAGAGAGAGCCAACCTTCAGAACTGCAGGTAGATAAGCTGTCTGTCAGAGAGTCCACCAGAGGTTCTGCAGGACCAATCAATTCAGATCCATCATGCACCTCTCCATCCTTAAAATAGACAGAAAACAATATATATTTTTCACTAGGGATTAATGTAACTTTCACCAAGTGGAGAAAGTTACAAGAAAAATAACAATATGATCTAATACACTGTTCCCCAGCTGGGCCAATACAAGCACTATTGAGAATTCCGGAAGTTGAAATCGATATTCCAAGTTGGTAAAGATTAGTTCTATATTCTTTCCAGATTCAGTCTAAGTATACATTGAAAGAAAGAATAGTCAATAAATATCAAAAGTATTCCTAAATCAAAGTAGCTGATTTGCAACATCTTCCAGATGACACATATTCCCATCCTAGAAAAATGATATTGAAGAGTGCCATCTGTTTTCAACAAGATATTATTTTAAAACAGCAATATTAGCTTTTATGATAAAATAGATTTTTAAACCTGAGAGGCATTCAGGCTCTGCACAAAATTCCTCAAAGAGGCTTAGAACTTTCTCATTAAACAATCTGCATGGATACATCAAAGAGTTAATAACCCACCAGATCCCCTGCCCCATCTGCTAGAAAAGAAAAAAAGCTGTCTTATCTTAAATTAACTTTCGACCATGTTTTAGTTTGATACCTCTCGAACTAGAATGGTTCTCCTCTAGAAAGTATCTTTGCTGGTTTTTATATCAGCTTAGCAGCCTTATTCCTGTTGTACCAATTTAATTGTTACACCATAATTATAAATCATAATTAAACCCATTGTAAACCTGCCACAAACCATAATGTTTACCAGTCACACAAAGGTTGTGGTTTCTCAGTCAGGTTCATAGAACACATATTTTGGCTTCCCAGCACAGTTGGAATGTATATGATACAGCTGAGCTTAAGCACATCTGGATCTGCTTAGTGCCTAGGCAAAGCCTGGGTTCTCCATACTTGTCTCCCTAAGCCCTCATGGAAGAAATACTGGATATACATAAACAAGCTTCCCTGACCACAGTTTGGCATGATATGTGAAGTTAGCCAAAGCCAAAAGGATCAGATCTGGGCTACAAAAATCTGCATGGCTATAAATAGTAGCAAAGAATACTTATATGTTTTGCTGCCATCTTAGTGATGCCTGGATATTAGCAGCCCTATCTGGCAGTACTATATGCCTATTATGTAGAAGTTTGGGTGTCTGCAGGGAAGATCAAGGAGGAACAAATAACATGTGCTTAATGCTACAGAATATCTAATGCGAAATATATTTTTACATTATCTTGACATAATCACTTTATTGCATGTGCATTGCCACACTGACATCATCTCCGTTTGCTGAAAAGACCACTTAATAGAATATCAGCAATGTGTAGTTACTAATCTAACTGCTAACTATTAGACACTCTCTTTCCTTCCACTGTGCATCAATAATATATTTAAGGCATAAAATAGTAGCAAAGTAGAAGTTGTTTGTCTATCTAATATAATCTATATGGTACTTTTATTCATTTGTTTTGCAACATTTGTATACTGTCCCAATCCAAAATTCTCTGGGTGTTCTTATTCTAATAAAGTGCCTTTCTGTTTTATATCATATAGAGCAGGGCTGTCAAACTCGCGGGCTGCGGGCTGGATGCATCATGCGCTGGCCACACCCATGCCCGGTTTAGCAAAAGGGGGGGGAGTCCCAATACATCACATGACGTCGCTGTGACGACATGAGTTTGACAGCCCTGATATAGTGAATGATTTGTAATAGTAACTATGAGTTTAGCCTATTTACATCACCCAGAACTCTATTTATAAACAGACATAATTTCCTGAGTAAATGGTTGCATATGGAGGTATGAGAGAATGGAGACTTTACACACATTTGTTTGCTTGTTTGTTTGTTTGTATACTATAGAGAAACTGTTTCAACCTTAGGCCAATCCTGAAAACCTATCATTTGCAACTGTTTAGATGGGAAATTGAGGCTATGAATAGCTGCCCTTGATCAAATAGACGAAGATTGCTTATGTTTTCCTGAGATTTACAGTAAACTGCATTTGTACTAATTTTTACAAAGCAATAGCACTATGAACAAGTACTTCACTCACACAGTGAAATGAAATAATCTATTAGATGGGCTAGCTGAAAAAGATTCACCTTAAAGAAATCTTCAAGCTGCTTGCTAGTGTAGAGCATGGGGATGTTGGCAGAAAACTGAAGCAAATCTTCTGCGCACTGTCTTCTCTCTTCAATCACACCTTCTTCAAATCGCCCTGAAACATGAACAAAATCAACATTCTGAGAAACAAGACATTTTTTTTCGGACAAAAATCCTTTATGAGGGGGAAAAAAAGCCTTGCATCTTCAACTGCTTCAGGAGACAGGGTCAAATATCTGGGCTCAAATGTCCCAGAATGTTTTACCATCTATTGAAGATATATATACCTTTGGCAGCCCTAATGGAATGTAAAGCTCCATCTTTTATGGGAACACATTGGTTGGCCAATAAAATGTTAAATATATACCCTCAATGTAAAAAAAAAAAAAATGAGAGTTAGCCACATTATAGATATCTATTCTGTACTGTGCCTACTTCAGCCCTAATCCCTTATGGTTGCAGACTTCAGCTATTTGGTTTATGCTAAAAACAAAGATTTGGATTCTGAATTTCTCTTTACTGAACACCATGCACAGAACAATCTTGCTATTGGAAGAAAAAGAAGGCAAGTTTTCTTCCTTCCTCCCAAAGGTCTTTTCTATTTAGGTTCGGTGGGAAAGGGTAGTGAAGGAGGATTACAACTTTAATGAGAAAAAAAGACTATTCCAGAAAAAGACTGTATTATCAATGGGAGGGGCCTTCCACTCCCCAAAAGGACTCTTGGGATCCAGGAAGTCACAATAAGATAAAACATGATGATACAGACTGGCTCCAGGTTGGCAAAGGAGTGAAACAAGGCTGTATATTCTCACCTTATTTATTCAACCTATCTAAATAATTATTTTTATTACATTAATATGTAGAATTAAGGGAACCTGGATTGGAAGAAGATGGAAGGTTTTAAAATTGGAGGAAATAGCATCAATTATCTCCATTATGCTGATGGCATTACCTTAGTATCGGATATCTTGAGTACTAAAAGAGTACAGTGTGGTACTGTGAAGCTATGATACATATTTCTCTGTCCCTTACATACTTGCATGCCATATCGCAATACAAATGCAAAAGGGCAAAATTTGTGTTGCAATGTAAAATTCATTATTTTGAGCCGCGGTGGCGCAGTGGTTAGAGTGCAGTACTGCAGGCTACTTCTGCTGATCACCGGCTGCCAGCACTTTGGCAGATTGAATCTAACCAGGCTCAAGGTTGGCTCAGACTTCCGTCCTTCTGAGGTAGGTAAAATGAGGATCCAGATTGTTGGGGGCAATATGCTGACTCTAAACCGCTTAGAGAGAGCTGTAAAGCACTGTGAAGTGGTATATAAGTCTAAGTGTTATTGCTATGGCTATTTTGATGTCATCATGGTTAGGAATAGATGACGGTGAAGCGATTCCAAGGTAGGATTTCCAGATGTATTAAGCACATCTTTTATCAACCTTAAGTCACAAGGTTAGAATGAAGAAGACCATCCACTATATCTAGAGGTCAAGAGCCTGGGGAAAATTTGCTACAGCAACTGTGAATTAAAAGAACTGCGCACTAGCACAGAATATATGGTCATTTTATTTTCTTCAATTAGCAAAGTGGCCAAGATGTGCATTTTGTAAGAAGGCTTTTAGCATAGGGAGAGAGGCATGGACTCTACTGCATTACAAATGACTTAGGGCAGGGGCTGCAGCCTGTTTGAAACTGGGCCACACAGGCGGTAGCCGAACATGTGAATGCGCCCAAAGCTCCCATTGCATGAAAGGTGGCTGCATGTGCTTGCACTTACCCCAGCTATCATTCAAGGAACTATCCCCTCTCCCCCACCCCACTGGGCCACCAAGCCAGAAAGGTTGGGGATCACTGACTTAGGGGCTTTAAGTGTTACTTGGTGCTTTAACTGTTCTTAAATAGTGGCTTAAGTGCTTACAATCAGTATGCAGGTTTTTTTGAGATGCTTTTATTTCTAAGCAGTTAAGAGGGATTTATTATGAAGTGTTAAAGAGATGAACTAGCACTATTAATGTTTATCTAGGAATACTTTCATTAAACCTTTCGGCTTACTTCTAAGTAACAAGAGCAAGACTAGACACTTAACAGACTCCAGGTCAAGTCTCATGTTTTCTGGCAATGTTTCTATTTGAGAGAGAGAGGATGCCATTTCAGCTGGGTACAGATAAATGCCAATTCATCCAGCTGCTTTATCCAATGAGTGAAGCAAAAGAGAAAAGCAGGCTGCCCTTCAGCAGTCTACTGGCAGCGGATTTGTTTCTCTCTTATAATGACCCTCAAAAAGGGAAGATCAGCTAGCCTGGCAAATGTAATGTTCATTTAAAAAGAGGCAGGAAGCAAGAGTTCAATTACATTGTTGTAGCTATTCCTTGTTTTTTTGGGGTTTTTTAACTCTATCTTTGCAAATTCTGACTCTAAAACACCACCACGTGGAAGTTGTCTCTTGTCCTTCTCATTTTGCTGGTTATTAAAATATGTTTTCACAGGAAGGCTTTGAAACTAAAAATCCTTTTTAGTCATACATAGATCAAGCTAAGGCACATAAGCCACAATTGGTGGTTTCACACATCTTATGTGTCAGCCCTGGCTGACATTATGAAGCTCAAACCAACTATATTATAGTTTAGCATACTCTACTTCATTACATTGTTCTTTTAAAGACTTGCTGTACTTATTTCTCTTTTGTATTGCTATTTTAGTGTTTTACTACTATTTTATCAATTGCTTTAATTTACCATTGTTGACTACCTTGAACAAAACCGAGGAAAGGGACGTTGGTCTTACCGTGATACGTTCCTTCTCGTAGTGTAAAATGGGAGGTGCCAGTCTGGGTATTCCTTGCTCTAGCTCTATGTCCTGAGCTGAAAAGTTCTGAAGATCCGCCTCCCTGGTGACGTCTCTTCAGTTTTGCCAGCGAAGCCAAAGCGAATGGTATGCAGTACATGTAAACGGTACGCAGCCTGAAAGATAGAAACACAAGCTCCACCAGGGGAGCCGGGCCAGACAGCCACAGACAGGGTGGGGCTGGCACTTCCCATTTTACACTACGAGAAGGAACGTATCACGGTAAGACCAACGTCCCTTCTCCATAGTGTAGAAATGGGAGGTGCCAGTCTGGGATATACCAAAGACTAGCCAGCCCTAAGGGAGGGAGCTGTCCTCGGCCGACGACCCCGGATCTTCAAGAACCCGCTGTAGTACTCTTCTCCCAAAGGCAGCTTCCGCCGAAGCGAAGGAGTCAAGTCTATAGTGACGGATGAAGGGAGTGGGGGAAGCCCACGTGGCCGCCCTACAAATGTCTTCCACTGATGCCTGAGTAGACCAGGCCGCCGTCGTAGCAGCACTGCGGGTGGAGTGAGCTGTTATCCCCTGAGGCACCGGGAGAGCCTGGAGCTCATATGCAGAAGAGATGCACGTCCTAAGCCAGCGTCCCACCGTGGAAGAGGTCACCCTGTGGCCAAGAGTCGACGGCTGGAAAGAGACAAAGAGTGCCTCCGTCTTTCGGAAAGAAGAGGTTCGAAAAATGTAAATACGGAGAGCCCTCCTCACATCCAAAGTGTGCCAGGTCTGCTCCAAGGCGTGCCCAGGCCGAGGGCAGAAGTCTGGCAGGACCAACTCCTGTGCTCGGTGGAACAAGGAGTTGACCTTAGGAAGAAAGGCAGGGTCCAACCGCAGAACCACCCTATTGGGGTGAAAAATGCACAGGTCTTTCCGCACCGATAAAGCCGCCAACTCTGAGATCCGTCAGGCCGACGTGATGGCCACAAGGAAAGCAACCTTACACGATAGGAGACGGAGACTAGTCTCCCTCAAAGGTTCGAAGGGTGCCTTCGTTAAAGCCTGAAGAACCTTTGTGAGGTCCCAAGTAGGATAGCGGTGAAGAGGCGGTGGATTTAAATTAGCCGCCCCACGCAGAAAAATCTTCACCCTCGGATGGTTAGCGAGGGAGCCCCACTTCCCAAAAGTCAAGACAGTGCCTAGTGCAGCCACCTGTCGCCGTAGAGTGTTAGTGGAAAGTCCCATGTCCAACCCGTCCTGTAGGAACTCCAGCACCTCCACCACCGATGCTGAAGACGGGCTCAACTGTCTGGAGGCACACCACCCAGCGAACCTGTTCCACGTAGCCCCATAAATTCGGGTAGTCAAGGACCGCCTGGCTGCCTGCATAGTTCTGATGACCCTGGTCGGAAAGTTCTCCCGCCTCAAGAGGCCCCGCTCAACCTCCAAGCGGCTAACTGCAGTCTCTGCGGGTCCGGATGCTGAACCGGGCCCTGGCTGAGCGAGACTCTGTCCGGGGGAATCCGCCAGGGTTTGGCGACTGACAGGTCGACCAGGTCGGCGAACCAAGGCCGTCTGGGCCAATGAGGGGCCACTAACACCAGTTCCGCCCCCTCCAGCATCAACTTCCGAATGACGGCAGGGATAAGGGGAAGGGGAGGGAAAGCGTATAGGAGGCCCTTGGGCCACGGGGTCCGCAGAGCGTCCACCCCCGCTGCCCCCGGAGCAGGAAACCGGGAGAAGAAAAGGGGAAGTTGCGTGTTCGTTGGAGAGGCGAAGAGGTCCACTACCGGGCGACTGAACCGGTCGACTATCTCCGCAAACAAGTTGGGATGGAGCCTCCACTCCGAGGGGTCCACCATGGCACGGCTCAGCCAGTCGGCTTCTATGTTGTCCGTCCCTGCGATGTAGTCCGCTGTCAGGGACAAAAGGTGAGTCTCTGCCCAAAGACAAAGGGTCTCCGCCTCTCGCATCAGGGGCCCGGAGCGAGTCCCCCCTTGCCGGTTGATATGGGCTTTCGTCGTCGTATTGTCTGTGAGAAGAAGCACATGCTTCCCCCTCACCTGCGGAAGAAAGGTCTGAAGAGACAGACGGGCTGCCCGGAGCTCCAACCAATTGATCTGATGGGATAGTTCTTGGTGAGACCAGCGGCCCTGGGCCACCTGAGACCCGCAATGGCCCCCCCAGCCCATCAGACTGGCATCCGACGTTACTATCACCCTGTGGGGCTCCCTGAAGAAGCACCCCTTCTGGATGGCCCCTGACGTCCACCAGGGCAGGGATCGAAGGACCCGTGGGGGAACCTGAACCCTCATCATGGATGAGCTCGTTCCTGCCCTC